GGATTTTGACATAACTCAGGCTATGTCTTAACCTGCTGCAGATTAATGTGACAGTCCTGGGGCTGATATTTTGTGCAGTCACACAGGTGTACTGTCAATGTGCTATCAAACAGTAATTGGATTTTGTTCTGCTTGGGCATGGAGCATCTGATTTTCTCCCCTTCATCTCATGTATGTAAGATGCTATCTTCTTTCTCAGCCGTACCTTATTCTCCCAACAGGTGCTGTGCTTTTCAGAACAAACCTTCCCATGAATTGAATAGGGGACTGGGAGGATCTCCTGAAGTGGTTGCGTATGTTGCTGCCTAGAAAGTTACCAGTTCAAGTTGGGCAGCTTGAAAGGGAGATACAGTGAGATGGCTGGTTTTGGTGCTTTGTGGTCGAGATAGTTGCTCCAGGGGCCAGAGGGTGCAGCCTGGTTCTCAGTGGTTTATGTGGTGCTTGCTCCATCTCTTCATGAGTGTTGTGTTTTAGTTAAATGGAGCTACTTTGTTCTGATGACACAGCACGCTGTGTGTGCTGCAGAGTCTTAAACATCCTCAGTCTCCATCAGCCACAGAACTCCTTTTCCTCCTAGTGGTAATTCCAGATGGTTTGAGCTGGTCTGTATGTGTGTGACACCCAGAATTACTAGACATCGATTCAAAACTGGGGTGAAGTTCAGTTTGTCCTCCCTGGGCCGAGCTATCTCTGCACATAGAATGGGTGAGGGCGGTTTGCTAATAGAGTCCCTTCACAACGCAAATTGAGCTTGAAATTCAGGGCAGTCATCAAGTGCTTGTACTGAGATAGGGGCTCATCTTCTCCCCCAGGCAGGACCTGTGTTTTCATGTCCTAGCCTGAAATTGCCTCTACGCCAGAGTTCTGGTTTAATCCCCTTTACTGTCTACGCAGGGAAGGGGAGGCAGCTAACGGTAGCTTGATGAGCAAGCACAGTTGCTGTAAGCAGGAAAGCACAATGGGGAGATGATTCTCATCTGTTTTCCTTTTCTTGCTGTTTCTTGCAGAAAAAAAATGAAGCGGGTGTGGGAGAGAGCTGTGGACTTCCTGGCTTCCAATGAGTCACGGATTCAGACAGAGTCACACAGGGTAGCGGGAGAGGATATGCTGGTGTGGAGATGGACTCAGCCTTCTTACGTCTCGGATTCAGAGCACTGAAGAGGAGCAGGAGTTGAGCAACTGTTGATACGGACCTCGGCAAGGGGACAGTCCCCTCTCTGGTGGTGGGAAAGAGCAGGTCATGGTCCTGATCTCCTGGGGTGGGGGATTGCACGTAGCTGTTTGCTCTTCTTTCTGAAAATCTTCACACACACAAATTCAGGGCAATAATGTTGGCTTGGAGAGAAGATGGGCTTGAGATGAGAAGCTAGAATTGCACCAAAGTTAGCCTTCCAGCAGATGTCTGGCTTCCAGGAGCAAGCAAACCTAGACCAACTTGAAAACAATATTAAAAAGGCCTATCTGATGTTGAGGGACTTGGGATCTCTCTGACAAAGCCTTGCAAATTTGACCTCAGTTCTGCAAAGGCCAACTGGTGGCAACGTCCATCAGGGAATGTGTTAAAGAAGGTTAACATTTCCCATGGAAACACTAGGGTGGGAGTTCAGCTGCATTTGTTTTTATCAATACAAAAGAGTGAGGAAAGCACTTAGTGAGGAAAATGTGTTGGCTTCACCCTTTAAAAAATGGGGAAAAGGGGGCAAAATTAGGTGAAGGTAGTCCTAGAGGGAGGGCAGTCTGACGTGCCTTGGGGGTTTGGGCTGGGTTGGGTGGGCTAGAAGAGTGCTTGTGACCCTGTTACACTTCTTAAGTCTGCAGTCTGTGTGCTTTATGATTTCTGGGAGGGGTGGGGGGAATTTGGGTGGAAAATAAAGGATATAGGAAGCTTCCAAAAGCGCTTTCTTGTGGCTACAGCCAAAGGGGCTGCTTCGTGGGCTATTAAAGAGCAGCTTTAGAAAGGCTATTAGGGCTGAATGTACATGTTTATCCTGGGCAGCTGCAATGTGTGTGCTGTGTGTCAGAGCAGAGACGTACCAGGCGTGCAGCATGGGGGTGGGATTGCTGAGTCAGTGTTCCTGCAGCCTCACAGTGGGTACAAGGAGCACTGATCAATCCTCTGTTCATGCTGCAGGCGTCGTATTTTGTAATCTATAATAATTTCTTTACTTAAGTTTCTCTTTATGTCCAGCAAAAGTGTTTGTTTCAAAGAAAATAGCACCAGTGTGTGGCAGTTTAGGCTATAGGCAGAGATACTGCTGATCTGCTCTTCCCAATAACTGTAAAAGAGCTCGCCAAGACAGCAGGGACCAGTTTAATTTCTGGCATAAGGTGGCAAAACCTGCAGGGAAGCCAGCTCTCATTTGAGCCTGTGTCACCGTGGATGTGGTTCTCCTCAGCACACGGGCACTGTGTGAATGCCCATGTTCATCTCTGGCCCTGGATGTGTGCTCGGCTTCCTCCCCAGGCTCTGGGTTGGCTTAGAACGGCTGCCAAAGCCCTGCTCTAGCGTTGCGGGCTGCTGGTGCCACACACAAGGTGGATTCCTGGTGCCAGTCCCTGCTCACCTCTGGGTATGAGGTCTGCTTCGGTGCGTTTCCCACCTGCACACCCCACAGGCTGCTGCTGCAGGGCTGCAGAGACCCCTCGGGTACCACCAAAGCGAGTGGAGGGAGCGGATCTCTCCAGGAACAAAGCACGGGGAGGTCTTTCCCATGAAATAGGAAATGATCTGCGTGGAGTTGACTCTGACCCCGTATTTTTGTTACGGTCACAAAGGGAAGGTGTTTGAATGGAAGAGGAAATTCCCACTTGTCTTTGAGACAGCGACCAGCGTCTTCCACTGTTAATAAAGTAGGGACTAAAGCGAAGGCAGTCTTGGTTCTGCTGAAGTGCTGTAACGAGTTCCTCGCTGCCGCCATGGAATCCTTGCAAACACCGGTGCCTACCTTCTTAAGCCTTTTTAAAATGAATTTGTGGGGTTTGGCTTAGCTTTTTTTTACCCGTCCAAATCCAGAAGTGAAGAGTCAGGCATTGCAGTCATCTTTTTGTATTCAACTTGGTTTTGTAGAATAAATGTCACTGGCTTGGTGCTGTTCGTATGTTCAGTTTAGCTCTGTAAATCAATACATACAATAAATTTATAACGAATGCTTTGTTACTTTTATTTTGATGGAGGAGTCACACATTGTTCCAAGTGTTCTGCTCGGGCAGAGCAAATAAATCCTGCTCCAGGGAGCTCAGGGTTTCTAAGAATAAGACTGAAGATGGCACGGGGCTGGCGTGACAGCCTAAGGAGACCGTGGCTCCTGTGATGACAGAGATCACGGTGGTGGCAGCAGCCTCAGGTGTTTGCCTGCACGTTCAATCTGTGTTTTGGGAGCACTTGGCATTAAGCAGAGATGTGGATGGAAGCTGTTCCGCTGTGTTTTGTGGAGGTTCACAGCTGGGAGGGTTGTGAGATTAAATAGTGCTTGAGCAGGTTGAGCAGTACTCCTGTAGCCCAAAGCAAGCAGTTATTTCTGGAGAGGATGGGATGGTGCAATAGGCTGTGGCAGCTGAGTGGGGGTGTCCCAAGCTCCATGTGTTTTGTGCTCATTCTGTGCAAGGCAGATCCCTCACACGTTGGGTGGCTGAAGTGAACAGCTGCTCCCAACAATCCTGACTCTGGGCTGAGTGACTGATCCTATTATTGCGGCATCCTCAGGCCATGGCTTTTGGGATGTGATGTGAAGTGCCAGGTGATGCTGCAGGGAGACTAGGAAGTACTGAGGGAAGTGTTTGGTTCGGTGCTGGAGTGGGATGGACTCTAAGGGCCCTTCACTGCCCATGCTCACAGTCTGCTGCTCATCACTGGACACGTCACTTCCCTCCTTTTGTCCCAGGGCTTCATAGGCTTTAAGCAGGGTGGTTACAAAGCACTGTAAAAGGATGGGAGCTCAGGTGGGTATTGGATGGTCGTGGATACTTAAGGAAAAAGGCAAGAAGCCAAGTCTTGGACTGTGTTTCAGATCCCTGGTGAGCAGAAGACACGCAAGTGCAGCTTGTCTACAGGACCTGTTTCCTTGTGTGTTTTCAGTTCCTCTCCCATCCATGTCAGTGACTCGACTCCTGCCACCACGAGCTCCAGGTTCCCCCGAGCCTGCTCCTGAAGCAGCACGAGCAGTCCGTGAGTCAGCGCTGCGTAACTCCTGTGGACACGGTTGATTCACCCGTGGTTGGTTCGAGAAGCGCTTCCTTAACCTCCTACTGCAGGTCTGGGTGACAAAGGGGGAGATCTCCACCGGTGCAGGAGGAGGTTGGCTCCGTGGCTGCTATGGAAGTTGGTGGGAGCTGGTTACCTCCTCCCTGCTGTGGAGCTGTTGCTAAGGTATGGGAACAAAAGGCAATGCAAGGCTAAATCTCTCCGCTGAACCTGCGCTCCTGTTCAGATGCTTTTACTCAGCGTGGGTTGCTAAGTTACAGCTGAAATACATTCAAGGTTAGGAAATAGTCTTCAGCTTGGTGTAATTACACGTGCCAGAGGATGTTTGCTTTCAGCCAAGCTGCCGTGATGTTTTCTGCAATAGTCTTCTCCCCGTGTCCCTTCCTTGATGAGCTGTCATGACAGCCGAGAAGAGGAGTTTTGTGCCAAGCTCCTGCCGTTCCATACAAGCAGTGCTGATGGTTTCTGCGGTACCAGCAGTTTTCCCAGAACCCCAGGTCCGTTCAAAGGAAAGGCAGTAGCTGGGTGCTTCATCCCTGCCCTGCTCTCCTTCCAGCTCACACCCAGCCAGAGCCAAACTTCCCCCTCTTAGGTTCTTGCAGTGTTAAGTCCCTATAAATAAACTCTCCAGCGGTGGAGCTGATAAAGCCGTGGCATCCCTTACTGTCAGAGAGGAAATCTGTACCAACCAGGCATCTAAAATGAAATTGCCCCTTTATCTTTTCATTTCCTGCTTCCATTTAAAGCCTTTCCCGTTGCATGTTTCGTCTCCTGCTGACACGACAGCTCATGCTGTGCCTTGTTTATGGGGCGCTGTGCCAGTTCTCCTGGAAAGATCAGCGTGAACCGGAGAGGAAACAGCACAATCCCGGCACTGCCAGTGGGTCCTGCCCCAAGGCACCTCCCTCGGGCACAGCCCCATCGCTCCCCAGTGCCCACCTTGGGATTTGACTTCAGTGAAGCTCCAAGAACAGCCTCCAGGTAGGTGCTGGAATGGTTTCTGTGCACGTTACTGAACGAACCCTCACTACAGCAGAGCACAAGGCCCAAGTCCTGGCCTCACCTCCCACCTGTGCCCTAACAGAGCAGTTCTTCCTGTAGGAAACATGGGTGTTTTGAATTGGCTCTAATCAGTGAGGAGGCCCCAGTGGGCTTTGGAAACCTCACCTGGCTTCGGGCTCACCCCAGGGCAGAGCGTTGGCTCCGTGCTCTTGCATGGCAGGACACTGGAGCTGCTGCTGATGGAGGTGACTGCCTGCTGCAGGACCACATCCGGTGTTTAAACACCCTTAGGGTGGTGAGGAGCTGCTGGCTGGGGCAGGAGCTGGGCTGGGCTCATAGGATGCTCCTGAGCCACTTCCATGTCAAACCAGTTGGAAGCAGGTCCTTGTGGAGGTCCCTGAGCATCCTCTGCGAGAGCTTTGGGATGGGGGCTGCAGCCTGCAGTGCTAACCAAGGGTAATCATAGCTGCACGTCTGTAATTAGCTCCTAATTAGCACAGTTTTAATGTGAGGCAGGGCTGCTCCAACACGAGATTGCTTCAGGTAACACTTGCATTAAAAATACACAGGGTACCCAGCAGGATGGACCTTGGCCAAGGACAAAGGTGTGTGCTGGCAAAGGGGCCTCAGGGGACTTTCTGACACTATTGCCTTCTGCTGGGCTGGGCTGTGAAGCTGTTGGTGGGGATGCACCACGGTGGCCTTGCACAGTGCCCAGCTCAGCGATTTTTCCTTCAGAAACCAAGCTTATTGAGGAGAAAAAGGCATTTTCCTGAGCTAAAACAACTCAGCATAAAGCAGAGGGGAGTCAGGGCTCAGGAATCTTTGTTTCATCCCTGTCTTTGATCTCAGCCTCTGCTCCTGACCATCAGTTCGATCCCTCTGCTCCCCATGAGCTTGTTTTCTCTCCTCCAGTTAGTGAGAATTACCACATCCATCAATCCTTATCCCACCAGCGAGGTTTTCCCCCCCAACCTCCTGCTGTTTGGCTGTGAAGCCCAAACCCACCACAGCTCGTGGGGCCCAGCATGGGCACTGCTTTGCTGATGTCCTCGAGTTACTGATGGGGACTGGGATGGGGTGATGAGAGCGGAAACCCCCTCCTTATCCTATGGGATGCCTGGACTGGGTGTGCTGTGCAATCTGCTACGTAACACACGGCTCCTGCGTGATTGGGATGCGTGGGGACGTCCAGAACCCTCGGCATGCACTGGATCGGACCCAGCAGTGGGTGCTTGGAGGGGGACAAGGGACACGGGCTGTCCTAGGGAGCTCCCTGGAAGCCAGCATCCATCCGGTCCTGCTGGGACGGGATCAACAGCAGGGGAGGGCTTGTCCGGGCAGGAAAGTGGAAAACAGCCCGGGAAAGAGCAGCAGTTGTTTTCCTGGAGAGCCGATTGCACAAGAGATCCACGGTGCGGGACGCCAGCCCCTCGCCTCCATCCCGGCCCCTCTCATGCGCAGCTTCCCTTTAACACCCGAGGCTGCTTCTCCCCCCTTGAGCTCAGCTGTCAGCGGGACATAGCATGCGCCTGCCAGCCCCGCTGCGGTCAGGTGATGGCCCCAACGTCCTGGCTCTCCCCATGCCCTCGTCTCTCAAACCTGAGGAGCAGGCACAAGTTCATCGCTGAGCCCGGAGCGGCCGCGCACGGCACCCAGGTGAGGTCCTGCATCAGCACCGGCCGCACGCGTGGTGCTGGGTGGTGGGGAAGCCTTAGGAAGGTTCCAGCTTGTGGGAAGGGACAGGAGCAGGGGGCAGCCGGTACCGGGAGGACACGGAGCAAAGCTCTGGAGCAACCCAGATCTGCAGCTAATGAGCCTGGCTCTGCATTGCGCTCATGGCATTGCCAGAGAGAGCGCTGGGCAGCAGAGGGGTGAAGGGGGTTTGGTGTGAAAGGCACAAAACGGGCAGGGGGATAAGGAAGCTTGTGCCCTTTCCCATGGGACGTGGTAGCACCGTCCTGCCGTCCAAAGGCACGTTCCCATATCCTGCCGCTGCCCCACTCCGTAGCCCGATGCCCGTGCCAGCCCCAGGGATGGGCAGGGGGCTGCCAGCACAAGACCCGGCAGCTCCTGTCCCTTCCCATTGATCCTGCTGCTTCCCACAAAGCAGCCAAATAAATCCTTCAGTGCAGCAGCTTTGCTTGCTTCTGCATGAGGGATGTGGGGACCAGACATCCATTTTATGACCATCATCTTCCGTCAGGAAAGGAAACGTAAGATAAAGGAGCTGAGGGTTTCTGCCGGCAAGGATTTATGGCAGGATGGTTGCAGCTGGGTTCCTTGCCAAGAGCGGAGCTTTCTGCTGCCACCATGGTGCTGCCCTGCAACTATTTCTGACTGGCTGTAGCCAAGGGAAGAGCAGGAAAGGCAGGTTTGAAGGTTCACTGAAGGTTGCAGCGTGTTTGCCTGCCCATGCAATCAGCCCAAGTCTGCCTTGAGCCCTGTGGGGATGGGCGCTGAGCTGGAACCAGAGGGATTTTCCTTATGGCCAAGGAGTTTGGAGGGATAAGGTGAAAGATTGAAGGGAAATGAGCGACTGGGCTTTGGCTTTGCAATGGGCACTGGCACCCTGCTCTTGGGCTGGGCTGGTGCTCGGTGCAGGGGCTGGGTGTGATTCCGGATGAGCTCCAGTACCAAGAGCTATGGATGCAGGAGAGCTCTTCAGATTAACAGCTATGTGCTTTTCTTGCCTTTTAATGGGATATAAAGAATAATTAGCAACCAACTTGAGATCCAACTTCACAGCAGGGTCCCTCGGGATGCTCCAGAAAGCCAGGTCCTCAGGGGAAAGGTTCTGACCATGACATGTGAGACCAAGAACATGGTCCTGTGCTGACAGAGCGCTTGGTTTTCAAGTGATTTCGCTTTTAATATCCCAAAGTATTCCTGCTAAGCTCCTCACACACCATTGTTGGTGATGCAGGTTGGGCTCGGGCCTGTGATGTACTGGAAGGGAATCTGTGCAATCTGACAGTGACCACAGGGATGCCTGTTGAGGTATCTCAGGCTGTCTGGATATAGAAGGGAGTTCTCCACATAGGGACGTATTCTTCTTCCCCAGTATTTCCTGAGTCCTCTTTATCTGCAGCGCCTTGGGTTGCTTTCTGCTTTTGCTTTTATTTCTTTTAGCTGGGGGGAAATATTCAGGTTTTCATGGTTTTTTTTTTGGTGAGGATTCGGGTTTATTTGCAATTCTGTGTATTTTTAGTGGTGTAAATATCCCGCGGCCCACGCGATAACCTGAGCCGGCAGCAGGGATTTACTGCAGGGTGTCTCGTTTCGGAGGGGCTCGGGAAGTGTTTGCAGTAACATTTACCTGCTCTGAACAGGCAGGAGGCTTTGGCCCACGAACTAAACGTAAAGAGCCCCTTTCTCTTACTGCAGAGGGCAGATGCTCTGAGTTTTGCTTATGGGAAACCAGTAAAAGACAGCTCAAATGGTGGGCTTTTAACCCCAACTCATCTGTGGGTGATGTCAGCTGAGTTCCAGCCTTGGACTCTCTCTGGTGCAGTAAATAGCGGACTGAATCCTGCTGCGCTCCAAAGAGCTGTTATAATAAATCCTCTTGCTTTTTGCTTTTTCTTCCTTCTTTTTAAGGGGTGGGGGGGTGGGGAGGAACCACCTAAAGCTCAACAAAGCTGCAGCTTTCAAGGGAGAAATCCTCTTTCCAAGTTGCCACAACTCCTCCAAATGCTAAATGCTTTGATTCACTTCCAGCGAGGCTCTGAAGAGCTGCTTTCTTCCCCGGCTCAAAAGCACTCATCGAAGGGGCCAGGCTTTCTTCCCGTCCACGCTGGTAATTGTGGAGTAGCAATTCCTCTCCAGCGTGTTTGGTGATGGAAGAATAGAAAACTGGGGGGAGAAGGGGAATAAAAGACCACCTTGGGGAAGGTAAAGGAGCTGCTCTGCGCGGTTTGAAGGTAGGAGGGTTTCTTCCTCCCCTTCTCTGCCTTCAACCCACTCCATCCCACTCCTGCAGGTGGAAACAAAGCAGGGCCCAGCGCCGGGTGCTGGTGTGCTCAGTGCTTTAATTGAGCTTGAAGGGGAAATTGAAGCAGCAGAGCTTTGGCTCTTTGCTGCAGGAGGAGGAATACGCTGCGTGGCAATGGTTAAAGCTGGCTCCGGAGTACAGCCTGAGCTCCCCATTGCTGCAGGGATCTGGGAGCACCCCGATGGCACGAAACAGCCACCCAGTTACACCTGGGGTGAGCAGAGAGGTGCCGTCATGCACTGCTGTTCGGTGCCTCTTGGTTGAGGCAGGGTGAATGTGCTGCCCTGGCCCCAGCAAGGCTTGGGGTTGGCAGAGCTGGTGTTGCTCTTTGCTTTGCTACACAGAAATGGATCTTACAGAGACGTTACTATCTACTGCACTGGGGTTTTGCTAGCAAAGACAGGATGCGAAGCTCCCCAAAAGGCAAACCAGGCTCTGCGCACCCCTTTTTGAGGGCTGCAGGAACAGGGACATCCTCGGAAGGGTGATTTGAGTGGGGTTTTTACCAGTCCCTTTCAGTTGGGGTCTGGAGTGTCTGCCTCTGATTTTATTGCCTCGATGGTACAAAGCCAGTCTGGCTCCTCCTGCCTGACGTCCACCAGAGCAAGAGCCATCCATGGGCTTCCTGTAAAGCATGAAGTGAAGGAGTTGGCGTTGCAGGGTGCTTGCAAGAGAAACGCGGGTGCTGCTGCTGAGGCAGCTGGCACAGATTTGGCACATGCTTTTCTTACCTGACTGGTTTAGAGCCAGGACTCGCTGAGGTCAAAATCAAGCAGGAATTGCTGGAAGCAGGAACGGAGCCGTTGCTGGATGCTCCTTTGGGCTCTAACAGAGAGCAGGGCTGGAGAGCCCGGGGGGAGCCAGCGTTTGGGTGCTGGTTTAACACATCCTCATGTATTAACAGGGTGCAGGAGATGCTCCTGCTAACGCACGGGTGTTAAATGGCAGGGATTGTCCCAGACTGAGGTTTCTTTAGAAGGTGCAGAAAATGCTGCTAACCCCCCCCCCCCAAGCAGTGTTAAGGCGCAAGGGACTGCCCAGGGCCATGGGCTTTATTAATAAACCTCCTTCACAAGGAATGTTCTAGCCTGGGGAAGACTGAGACCATCATTAACACTATCTCGTAAGGCAAACTGGGGCTGTTTCACAGCAAGGGGTGTCATTAATACAGCGTATTAATAACCTGACATTACCAGGCCAAGGAATGCCCTGCTCCAGCTGCTTTGACAAGGCCACCTCATTAACTTGATAGCTCCTCTTGTCATTCCCCTCTGTTTCTTTTTCTCCCAGGAGATCTAAATCGGATCTTTTCCAGACTTCCAGGCTGCGGCTCCCTGCCAGCCTCTGGGCACCTAAAGCCCTCAGACCCCGGCTGTGCACCCAGTGCAGCACAAACCCAGGCTCAGCTCCATGGACAGAGGCTTCACGGTCGCTTATCCCCTTCCTCACGCTCCCCAATACCCTCTATTGCAGACACCATCAGGGAGAACCCGGAGCGGGAGTGAAGTGATCCAGTGCTGTGTGCCCCAGACCCAGCTCCTGACCCCGCTTTGGTGCTAGCCCCCCACTGCCTTTCAGCCCGCACCATGGTGGGGCAGAGCCCCCCCTGTGAGAGCAGCAGCGCCGTGCTCCTGGAGCCCTTCGTCCATCAGGTCGGCGGCCACATGAGCATGATGAAGTACGACGAGCACACGATCTGCAAGCCCTTGGTCTCGCAGGAGCTGAGCTTCTACGAGTCGCTGCCCTTGGCCATGAGGCAGTTCACCCCCCAGTACAAAGGTAAGGGGAGATGGGGACCGGCAGCATCCTCACTAGGGTCAGTCCTGATGCTGGGACGAGGGGCTGGTGGTACCGGCTGGCTCAGTTTGAGCTGTGGAGCCCCATCACTTGTGAAGGGTTTGCTGAGCAAGGATGCTTCTGCATGGAAATGTGCACAGGGGCAGGTCTGTGAGACCAGGAGGGTATCCCGCATCTCTGTGGCTGGAGGGGGACTCTCTGATGTCTAATAAGGGTTGTGTGCTGGCTGATGGAGATCCCCCGCCTCTGCCCATCCGCTTGCTGCCATGCTCAGCCTTGGTAACACAGGAGACTCCTGTTACGTCAAATCAGGCTGAAATGGGTCTGTCCTTAGGGGCACAGGTGTGAAAAGGTGGATGCAGAAAGGGTGAACGTGATCCCCTCTGGAGCCGAGAGTCTGGGCAGTGCAGGAGCAGGACAGAGAGAGTGAACACAGAACAAAGGGGTAGGAATAGATGAGGATTTTGCAGGTCGTGGCCCCTGATACATCGGTCTGATGGGATGTGAACGGTGGCACTGGATGGGTGCAGGAAAGTACGTTCCCAGGATGTGACACATTATGTGCTCTGTTCAGCAGGGCTTGAAATCAGCATCCCTGGATGAACCCGAGGTACAGACCACTTCAGATCCCAAAAATCAGACCTGGGCACTTGGCCACGAGTGAGACCTTCCCAGGACAGGGAAGAGCCTCCCGGGCTTTGTGCCCCCATCACTTCCTGGGGTCCTCTTCAAACACCTCCTCCTTGCCCTGCACCACTCTTCCAGCTGTACTGAGCAGCAGCACTTGCGGTGTCCTCCTCCTTCCCTGCCTTGTTCCCTCTCTTAGTCCTGCTTCTACTGTGCTGCTCATAAAGCTCTGACCCTGGGGTTTTGTGAGCTCAGCTCACACGTAAAAACTTCAAATACATCTCTTGGTCCTTCAGCGCTACAGAGAAGAGCCCCGAGCATCAGTTGCGGTTTTGATGTGCTTCCAATTCCACCTCTGCCTTTCCCACAAAGTCCAGGGCCTTTGCAGGTTTATGGGACAACGTTAAAAAGATGCTCGAGAAAACAAGTCTTCCCCTAAGCCATTTGCTTTGGCAGGGGCAGGGTTCTGTGCTGCAGAGCTGGGCCCTGCTCTGTCTCACTAATAAAGACGTTGAGCAGTCCCAGCTTACCGGTTCAGGTGGCTTTTAATCCTTTTCAGTCTTCTTTTCCTCTTCTGTTGCAAGTCCCAGTGAGTTTTGTGACGAGGGATAATTAAATAGCAATTCCTTTCCAATTTGCCACTGGGCCCATGCTTTGTTTTACTCTTTTCTGCTTATAACAGTCCTGGCCTGAATGCCACTCATTCAGAGGTGGTAATGGGGGGAAGGATGAGCATTGGGGGGAACAATCCGGAGGTCCTCACGAGCGTGGCTCACACGTGTCCATGTTGCTCACCTCTATTCTTAGGCTGCAGGGCCAGGACCATTATGCAATGCCGACAGTATGTGCAGTGTTGATCAAATGTCACCATTCAAATCTAACACCGAGTCAGCTGCTTAAAGAATGCTTAACCGCTTGCTTAACCACTTCAGGCACTTTGGTGACCTTGGGACCAACTTTTCCCGCACCAGACCCTTGCAAAGCTCTGCCTGCCCCGAGCTGAGCTCGCAGGGGGATGCTCAGGGTTCTGCTCAGGGTCCTGCTGCACGTGGCACTAAATCAATGCGCTTGTGCAGTCAAAGAACAAAGCAGTGCGGGTAGAGCTCCACAGCAACGTGCTCCTGAGGATCCCTTGGATGCCATGGGCACGGTGACAGCACCCGTAAATACCCGCTGGGCGCCTCACTGGGGCTGCACAGGAGCAGGTCTGAGGTTCTGGTGACACTAAAAGGCCAGCAAAGGCAAGCACATGAATACACCTTTCCTTCCAGATAGGTGTTTTATCATCGCAGTGAAAGTCAGCAGCCATGCGTTACAGGCTTGGGTTGCACTCACTTGCAGGACACATGCAAATCCCATATGGAAGCACACCAGGAAACAGTAGTATTTTTCAGGCTGGAACACAGGTATTTGAAGACTGGCTGGAAGGAGGGAGAGGATCCCATTCCCTTGTCATTGAACTGCTCATGTCTGCCTTTGAAAATCTCCCCATTAACTTTCGTATTAATGTAAGATACTCCAGAACTCTTGGCTTCATGCTATTTATAATGGGTTTAGGGCCAGACTGTCAGCACTATGTAAATCAGCACAGCTCCATTGACTTGCAGGTCTGTAACTGGGACAGTTGTGAAGGTTCCAGGCTGCTATCGCGCCGTAGCAGAGGCACAGAGCTAGATTTGGAACCGAGGGCTTCATTTGCCTTGCTTTGATTTAAGAGGCTTTTTTCCCTGCCTCCCTCCCCTGGAAATCCGAAGCAGGCATCCGAGCTGGTAGGAGTTGCACTTGCTCTCAGTTATCTGTAATATGGATCTTTTACAAGTGGGACTCAGAGGAAGGGCTGGTGGGTAAAAGGTTTGAGCCTTAAGGACGACAGAGCTCTGTCAGATGGGCTGATACAGCTAAAATACCCTAGCTAAGGTTTCCAGCCCCCCTGTTCCCTTGGCAGAGCAGCCTGTGGATATTCCTGCCCCATTTTAGTGCTGAATTAGGCAATGTAACCAAGCCTGCCGTGGCACGCATTCAGATTGATGCTGATTTTAGGGCAAAAGGGAACAGAAATGGTCGTGGTACCCAAACAGAGGTATGGAGGGCATGAGCATCCCAACACAGCCGGAGCTGCAGGGTTATGGGGTGCAGGACCAGGCAGGGATGAGGCCCCCAAGCCTATCAGTGCTGGTGGCTGAAAGCAGCAGAGGGCAAACCCTTCTGTCTGTGTTTGCTTCCTGTAATCTCGCTTTGAATGGGGAGAAAGGACTTTGCATATTGATTTGCTTCAGCAACTTAGCTCGGGAGACTGAGCTCCTGTGTTTGCTCAGCTGCTGAAACGCATCTCCCCGCAGTGCCTGGCAGCCCAAGCGAGGATGCCCTGGGGACGGCTGGCTAAAACCCAGCTCCATGCATTGATAACAGGGCTCTTTCCAGCCATGAGCTTTGCTGGTCCGACTGCCCTGCCTGTCCTCTTTTGGATCTACCTTCCTGCAGCGAGACTTGGAAGCAGCAGGGTACGACTCATGAGCTGGCATCCCCCCGAGTCCTAAAAGGGCTGCTCTAAAAGCACCTCTGCTGCCTTGAGAGGCTCAGACAGCCCTGGCAGAGGAGCAGCAGGAGCTGGGCTGCAGTTATCAGCCTTTCCCAGAAAGGTCAGAGCTCCTGGTGCGAGCCACGGCCATTCCTGCTCTGTCATCCGAGATGTGGAGCTGTCCCCATGCCAGGGCTGGGCTAAATATGCTGGATGGCATTTGAGCCCTGTGATTCCTGTTAGAGTCAGGGAAAAGTACACTGCTAGAACACACCGCGGGGTTTTAAGCACTTAGGATGGAAAGTAGTCATCCCCAATCACGTCATGCTCCCCTCGTGCATGAATGAACATCGGGCATGTAAGGGTCTGGTCCCCATCGCTGGCTGTTGGGGTGCTGGTCCTTGGTGCTTGGGGAAGGACAGGGCCATGACAATGTACGGGCATCACGTATGCAGGCAGTGCTGCCAGCCCAGGCACATGCCTCTGCCTTTGCTCCCGGGGGGCTCTCCAATTAAAGGAAGCAGTTGGCATGGTGTTTGTGTTTGGAAAATTCCTTCTCCCCTACCCTCCCTTTGCTACCTGCCAATGAGAAGCATTTCCAACCTTGCCCTGTCTTAAAAAGTGAGACTTAAATCCCTTGTCATAAATAAGCCAGGAGCTCCCGGTCCAACGGGAGGCGGCGGGAGGTCAGGGCTGTCTTTGCTGGGCCACTTGTGACATAGCAGAGCCTGGAGGGACGGAGGACAAAAGAACATGATGTTCAGAGGAGACAGGTTTCAAGCCAAGCCTTGTGAGGAGGGAACATTAGAAAAGCCTGTGGCTGTTTTCCAGGGTCTTGGACTAATGGTGTTTATTGGGCCTCAAATCAGAGTGGGATCGGTGTGAGAGGCTGCTAAAGTACATCCCGTTACACACCAGGAAGGCTGGACCCCTGGGGCTGGTGCAGGTGATGCATGAGCCTCTATGGTAACCCCATTCCCGTTTGTTTTCCTCCTTTTTGGCCAGGCATCGTCTCCGTGCACCTCAAGAAGGACAGCCTGGGGAACGTGACCCTCATCGCCAGCCCCAGCCTGGACAATGCCACCGCTGACCCTGCCGTGACGCTGTGGCACAAATGCAAGTGGGCTGCCAGCAGCGGCCCGGGCGGCGAGCGCGCCTTCGGCACGTGGAGCCACACGCAGGTCACCAAGACCTTCAAAGACAGGTGAGGCTCTGCCATGGGTGGGATGCTCCCTGCAGACCTCCTCTGGGCCTTGCCTGGGATGGTTTTGGTGGCACGAGTCCTGCTTGAAGGCAAAGGGAGCAAAAGCAATGCCCAGCCTGATGGCTTCATGGTTCCTCTCTCCCCTGCTCGTGGACAGAGCGGGGCAGATGTGGCTATCACTTGGATGCTGTTGCTCAAAGATGTGCCTCGAACTCTGCTTTAAACCTGTTTCCTTGGAGCACAGCGTGCTCCAGAAGGAAGAGAGGCCCCAGGAGAAGAGCCACCAAGCATGCAGCACATCATATAACACCCTTCTGCTGGTAACAGCCACATAGCGACTGCACACTTACGGGTGGCATCATGGTGCCTGCACACATGCCGCTTGCACAGGCTTTGTGCAAGGCATCTTTCACCCCAAACAGGTTCAGAGAGGACGTGGGTCAGCTGTGTCTGCAGGGTGCAATATTGCTACCGTGAACCCCCTGCCCGCACTGTGATGGGTTTTGGATGATGAGACAGAGGAATGACCCTCCAGGGAGAACAGAACTCATTGTTCCCTCCCTGCCCGCCTCAAAGCCAGCCCCTCTAAACTGGGAATCATTCCTAGTGTGGGATACCCTGCCTGTGTAATGCCCATTAGGTAGATCAACAGAGCTATGCATGGTACTGCTCACAGGAGCCAAGCACACTGAGATTATAATGAAAGGAAATACTGGCACCCAGCAATAACCACATCTCTGAAGATCACTTCTATGCAGTAACAAAGGCTCTCTGCAGGCTGGACGTGATCAATGTGTTTCCTTTGAGAGTCCCTGAAAATTCCCCTTATCAAGTTTGATGCTCTACAAAAGAGGAAGGGAAGAAATACTCCCCTCTGGAGCTTACAAACCCAACGTGCTCTTTTGTGTGTTTTGTCTAGCTGCCCAGGGAAGAGGCTGTTGAGGACAGACCTTCAGTACTGCACAGATTCGCTTCTGGAAGATGCAAATGGAAACCAGCCAGAAAGAAAGAGCTACAACCCCTGGGGACTGCACTGTCACCGGCAGCACCTGAACCGCTTGTCCTCCAAGCACAATGAGAACAAACTGCATCGTATCCTTTCTCTTCTCTCCCCTCCAGCATGGTCTTGGCAATAAGATGTTTTATCAGGGGTCTGAATCCCTCCTCGGCCCAGTCTCTGGGAGAATACAGAAGAGAGTTGCTGGAAGTTATGATAAGAATAAACCCCCCCCTTGCCATGAAGGGTATTCAGCGTAAGTGAAGGATCCCCTTGGCATACATTGAAAACCACGACTATATAAGAATTAGCAGCTGCCTCACCTTTTATTTTCCTATTACACTTCATTACCCAGCAGTCATGTGAATAATAGAGTTTAACAACTCCCCCCACACCCACAGGGGGGAGCACAGCACTGAGGCGAGGTGTCAGATCGACAGCCCAGGGCTATGGTGTCACTAGAGAATGGAGCTGTTGGGGCTTTAATTGGTAGCACTGTACTACAGTAAATTAACTACAATTGGCAGCAAGGGGCCTATAGCAATGACATGCTGGTAAAATGGGCTCAGAAAGTCTCCTTGCAGTTGTGAGCTATTATGGAGAGCGTCAGCAGTTGCTCTGATTTAAAACCTCTTTCAATTAGAAAGTATTTGGTTTCCCTTAAGTCATGCTCAGAGTTTCTGTTGCTTGAAAACGTGGTATCAAAATACAGCTATCCCTGCATCCTGGACTTAAAGATGGGAACACGGCAGCATGGCGATGATGCCTCAGAGGAGAAGAAAGCCCGGCACATCAAGAAGTGTGAACAAAGCACCTCTGCATCTCTGGGTGTTCGCATCTGTGGGATGCAGGTAAGGCCTTTTTGGTGTTTGCTTGACACACGGCTTGAAACCAAGCTGGGAACCTAAAGGGACTCTTTGTTGGTGTAAAGTGAAGCAGTTTAATTCTTGCCCTACACCAAACACAGGCTGTGAGAACCGGCCACTCGTTGTGTGTCCTGTCCTCAAACGGGAGGGGATGCTTAGGGAAGAGAATAGAACATGGTACACGCAGGGTAACCCTTTCCCCATTCCTTTGACTACTGGAGACTTCACAAGCAGCAGATGGATAAGCACCACCCCGCACCACTGCCACCAGTAGGAGCAGCTGGAACCAGTGTACCCCAGCTGCGAATCTGCCTGTACATGCACAGATTCCCCTCTCATGCTCCTCCCTCGGCTGCTGCACAAAGAACAAAAACAAAAGAGCATTCCATTGCCCCGCTCCTGCCTTGGCAGAGCTGCCTCCTGCTGCTGCAAGAGCCACGGTTTGTTTTGTGCTAAATCCTACAGCTCCTCACACTCAGAATCACCACCCTGCCTCTAGAAACCCAAACCACGCGTTCGTTTCACCCGTGCTTCTCAAGCACTGTTCTGCTGTGCCTGAAGGGTAATTATGAGGTTGGTGATTATAAAGCACACACACAGCAGGGAAAACACTGGGTGGCAAAACCCATGTACCCTCCTGGTCTGTGACATGCTTCTGTTGAGCAGATTACCCTTCAAATTACAACTGGCGTGTGAACTCATTGGGTATTCACTGCCTCGCTTCTTACTCAGTGTTACCAGAGCCTCACATACAAATTTCTGCCTACATCTTGTCTCTCTGTGTTTTAGAAAGCAAGATTATTGCTACCCAGGCAGTGCATACTGTGGAAGGCACAAAGCTGAGGTATCCCCGTACTGCTGCAAACTCCTACCAGAGCCAGGGGGAAATGCCATAAATCACTAGTGACACGACTCTGATTTAGAGCTATTGGGGTTTCACAAAGGGGTAATTTATAGCAGTGCAACAAGAATCTGCACTAGTGGTTTAAATGGAATAGTTTAAATCTCCAGAAAAGACAGGAGGCGGGATGCAGTGAGGAGCCTGCTGGTACATTGCCAGCATCGCTACACACTGCCAGGCTGCAGAGCAGCTACGAACTGTTCTTCTGCTTGGGGCTGAGCTTTTTAGAGATAGACAAAATCTAGAGCTTTGGGAAAACTGAACAACTCAATTTGGGCTTTTGTTCCCCTTCCTCAAGGTTTACCAAGCGGACACTGGTCATTTTCTCTGCAAAGACAAGTATTATGGGAGGAAACTCTCTCCGGAGGGATTCAGGCAAACCCTGCACCAGTTCCTGTGCAACGGCAACCACCTCCGGATGGATCTCCTGGAGCCCATCATCCTGCGGCTCAAAGCTCTGCTCTCCGTCATCAGGAAGCAAAGCTCTTACAGGTTCTACTCCAGCTCACTTCTCATCATTTACGATGGACAGGAGCCCAAGGAGAACACGGCACCCTTGGATAACCACCTTCACTTCCAAAGAACAAACTGCACCGCCTCACACGGCACTCATCACTCCAGAGTTGACGTGCGGATGATAGACTTTGCCCACACCACATTTAAAGGCTCCAAGTGCAATCACACCACTTACGATGGGCCAGACCACGGCTATATTTTTGGCTTGGAGAATCTCATCAAGATCCTTCAGAACATCTCAGAAGGAAAATGAGAAATTCCCATGTGAAATAGCCTGGACTGCCGAGTGACCGAGAGCCCTGAGAAGTTCTGCGCTGGGTCAGTTGTATGGGACCCTCTGCTGCTGGACCTCATGTGCACGTTTGGAATGAGGGCACGGGCAGCTTGCTAGGGAAGTGCAAAAAGCTCTTAGGTGCCATGAGTGAACTGAAGCGTAAAAAAGCAAAGAGCTGAAAGAACGCTCTGCCTGCAATCAATCACAAGATTTATTTTCCCTTCTTGTTTTACTGCTGTCCTTGATTTATTTGTGAGCCAAAAGCAAGCATTACTTGAAAGAGTCTTAATGATAAAAGAGGACCTGCTCACCTCTACACTCAAGAAGCCAAACGGGGTGAGGACATGCTGTGGGCTTGAGTGAGATTATTAGAATGAGCTGGGGGGTGTGAGCAGGCTGCAGCATCACCTCCAGCTCCTGCTCAACACACAAGGGAGACAAAACCAGCCCCCAGCACTTACACTGCATGTACCCAGTGGGTGCTCTGCCTACAGCCTGGGGGCTGAAACACAGACCTATGAGATGCTGCAGAGGTTCTGAGCTGGGGACCTTGACCAAGAACTGGACCTCACAAAGGTTTAATATCCCTGTGGGATTCTATCAGAGCACGTTTCAGGAACCTTCTAAGCAAGGGGCTGGAATGCGATTGATTCTGTCACAAAAAACATTCACATCGAGGTATTTCTGCTTAAAACAAGTGTGAGATTGAGTCAGGGACTAGCCATTAAAGGTCACCTAGAACTTCTTTGATACAAGGATTGTGTGTGTTTGAAGGAGACAATAGCAAGACTGAAAATCATGTTTACAGCTTTTGCGGACAGATTTTATTATTACGGAACAAACAGAATTCCTTCCTGCATGGTGTGGGAGACCTGCAAGAGAAATCCTTCCACAAGGAACAGCGCTGCAGAAGCCCCTTACTGGGGAGTGGGGATATAAGTAAAACATGAATAAAATCATCAAAGGAACTCCCATTTGTTGTCCATCTCTTTCACTTCCACAGCATCCTTACGTTACGTGACCTTTGTTTTTTAGGGCTGCATGTTTTGACCCCAGGTCTTAAGGGGACCCCTTCCCTTGTATTTTACTGCATACAGCTGAATTGCTACACTTTATAGCTGGAAAATCTACATCATCTGGCCCCGTTGTGTGTTTTATTTGGCCTCAGGTCCACCTGGGAAGACCTTGTGCACACTGTTCACACTGCTGCCTGTTTCTTGCTCACAGAGATGACTATAATAAAACCCCACATTTGGGTTCTGCTTCAGCAGCAAAAGGGTTGAGTTGTCAATGTGGGCTGCGATCAGTGCTAACTGAGGCTGGTCACAGCTTTGCTGATGGCGTTTAGCCAGACCCACCTCAGCATCTGCATGCTCTGAGCCTCTTGCTGGATGCACGCACCGGGACATCAAGTCTGGGAGTGGGGAAGGATGAAGCAGGGTCCAAGCATGACACCAGCAGCCAGACCTGGTGTCAGTGGGGCAAAACCCCTGCTTTGGCTCCTGGAAAGAACACAGCAATTGAGGTAGGACAAGGGGTAATGAGGTAAAACTTCAACAGGGGAGATTTAGGTTGGAGATAAGAAAGCTCTTCCCTGTGAGGGTGCTGAGGCGCTGGCACAGGGTGCCCAGAGAAGCTGTGGCTGCCCCATCCCTGGCAGTGTTCAAGGCCAGGTTGGACACAGGGGCTTGGAGCAAGCTGCTCTAGTGGAAGGGGTCCCTGCATGGAGCTGCGTGAGCTTTAAGCTCCCTTCAACCCAAACCAGTCCGGGATCCTATGATCCCACCTGCTGCTCCAGCAGCGACAGGAGGCCTCCCGGTCCCACCCTTACATCACCAAGCGCCGTCCCGGCCTGCGCCCTACGGCTGGAGCGGGGTCCCTCCTCCTCCGCCGCCGCCCCCGAGGGCCAGCCCGAAGCCAGGCTGCGCTCGGTGCCTCCGGACACGCTGAGCTGCGGGCCCGGGAAGCAGCGCAGTGGGCACCCCGAGCCCGCCGCTGTCCCCGTCCCGTTCCCCCCCGTAGTTATCACCCGTCCCATCCGCGCCCGTTCTCACCGCCGCGCTGCGCCTGCGCGCCCGCCGCCGGGCCGCTCTCGGCCGCCGTAGGCCACGTGAGGCGCGATGGCCGCCAGCCGGTACCGGCGGTTCCTGAGGCTGTGCGAGGAGTGGCCGGTGGAGGACACGAAGCGGCAGCGGGACCTGGGCGCGTTCCTGCGGCAGCGCGTGGCGCAGGCCTTCCGCGAGGGCGAGAACACGCACGTGAGGGCGGCGGCGGCGGAGGAGGCCTCCTCCGGGGTGGGGGGGGGGCGAGGCGGGGCCTGGGCCGCGCAGGCGCTTCTGGCCCGCGCGGTTGAACGGGAGCTGGGAGGCGCGGGGAGGGTGAAGGGAGCTCAAAGCTGCTCCAGCTCCATGCAGGGACCCCTTCCATAGAGCAGCTTGCTCCGAGCCTCTGTGTCCAACCTGGCCTTGAACACTGCCAGGGATGGGGCAGCCACAGCTTCTCTGGGCACCCTGTGCCAGCACCTCAGCACCCTCACCGGGAAGAGCTTCTGCCTAAGAGCTCATCTCAGTCTCCCCTCGGGCAGGTTCAGGCCATTCCCCTTGGCCTGTCCCTACATCCCTTGTCCCAAGCCCCTCTCCAGGTTTCCTGCAGCCCCTTCAGGCACTGGAGCTGCTCTCAGGTCTCCCCTTCAGGAGCCTTCTCTTCTCCAGGCTGCCCCAGCCCAGCTCTCTCAGCCTGGCTCCAGAGCAGAGCTGCTCCAGCCCTTGCAGCAGCTCCGTGGCCTCCTCTGCGCTCGCTCCAACAGGCCCCTCGCTTAGGGGAAGCTGTGATCTATACCCAGTTCTTGCCCTATGTGCACTGAGTGCTTTGGGGAACCCTTTTCCTGTGCTTGTGGCACTGGGGAAAAAAGCACTGTGCCTTTGTGCTGGAATTGAGTTGTGTGTTCTGCTCACCGTGATGCTAGTGCGGTGCGGTGTGAGTACATGGTGAACTGCGGCGCTGCCTGGCATTGTTAGGATGCAGGAGTTGTAAAATTGGATTCCAGCTACAGTGTAATTGTATTGGAGTTTAGGCTTTGGTGCTGAAATAAATCAGACAAGTCGATGCTTGACTTGGGCTGCAGACCTTTAGAGGCATGCAGGTGTTGCTGTGGAGTGTAAAAGTGCCTTTTCTCAGCATAAAGACATTCCAGATACGTGTTTTCTACTTCAAGGGACCATTATAGGTACCTAATTCTCTCTCGGTCACCAGAATAGTCTGCAGCAGACATTTCGGAGAGTGCTTATTGCTTTCCTATGTGCTCAGGACAGCTGAATGTGCTGCACCAATTGGCTAAAAGGTTCCAAAGCTGCCACTCATCTTGAAAATCTAAATTGATGCCTGCAGCACTGATGTCTATTTGTATGTATAAAGGCTTAATATAGCTAAGGAAATGTGCTGGCAGACAGCAGGAGGAATGTCTGAGAGAAGAACTGAAACCATAAAGGATACTTAATCAGGGTAATGTCTGGTTTATTCATGTGGAATAAGATTTGCTGATTGTACAGGGTGGGGGAATGCTGTTTCTGCTGCTCATTTAATAGCTGTTGCTGCTATCATTACTAAAACATTAGCAGGGTCATTTGAGATGTAAGTGCAAGATAGGTTAAGCTGAGGATGATCTGCATTGTGATGGTGCTTACTCTTGCCTGTCTGTCCATGTATCCTCTCTCCTGCAGCAGCCTTTCCCTACTGAATAAGGAAAGCCTTGCTTTAGTCCCATAGCTTGTGCAGAGAAGGCCCTGAGCTGAACCTGAGTCAGTGTCTCAAGGACAGACGAGCCTTGTCATTTTATCCTGACGTGCTTCTGTCGATGCTATTCCTGCTCATGTATCTGCTTGAATCATTTATGTTTGATGTCACTGGGCAGCAGTGCAGCGTTCTGGTCAAGTTGGCCCCCACTGTAAAGCAGAAAACCAAGCTGACGTGCCAGCCATACTGCTAATTCGATGGCTCTGCAAGGCAGAGGCACCTGGCAGAGGTTTAGTTATTAGCAAGATCTTTCCAACCTACTAGACCAAAATAGAAATCCATTTACCCTTCACAAGCTGTGCAGTGTCTTTCATGCTGCTTTTTCCTAATCAGTTATAAGTAGTTTTAGCCTGCGCCGGGATTTTCTACCTTCCATCCTGGAACATGATTCTAGTTGATGCTTTAGAATCAAACAGGAGGCAAAACTGGCCTTTGAGCAAGAAGTCTTGCAGATTTCACAGCACTATAGATGTGAGAAAGCTGCCCAGCAGTATTCTCATTAACTGTGTATTCAGGGTTGATCTGTCAAACCTTTTTGAGCAGAGTTTGAGGTTCATTCTGGAAATCACACGCCTCTTTATTCACCAACCTGGTGAGAAGTAGAGGGGAAAGGAAATGGTCTGCATTCTGGGGCAGCAGAGTAGGGGTTGCCAGCATCCTACATTGCACTGGGAAGCCACCAAAGGCGCTCCTTGACTGTCCTTCTCACAAGTCTTGAAACGAGGTGGGTTTTGCTATGGAGGTTTAAAGTAACACTCATGTAATACTTTTATGCCTTTCCAGATTGCTGACCCTGAGAACTGTGACCAAATGTATGAGAGCTTAGTCAGAATCCACACCAACTACTACAAAAATAAGGTGAGCTTTGGCATTAGCCATCATTCCTCTCTTAGGGGATGAATCACCACACTCCTCTGGCATTGGCTGCCTCATCCCAGCAGGATTTCTGGGAATGTCAGACAAATGAGCAGTTGGGTGGATGCAGCACGACCTGGTGCCTTCGGTCACTCCAGGAAGGCTGCAGACATCTTGGCCTCTGTGGCATGTATGGACCATTCTTGGTATGGATGAACAGAATTCCTAGAGCTCAACTAACACTGAGCTCAGATTGTACCCTGTGGTGACTTTTTTTACCTCTTTTAATGCACTACAAGTAACATCCTTTTCTTTCTCTCTCCTTCTCTCACCTACTTGCTCCTTGTGCAGTATCCACGCCTGAAAGACACAAACTTCACAGGAGTGACAGTAGAAGATTGCAAGATGATACTAGCAACAGGTACTGACACTATGCTTGATCTGAGAGTAAGTCAGTGCAGGAGATAAAGTGCATTCTAGTCTTTGTAGTGCTCACTCCTACTGAACACCTGTGACTAAAGGGCAGAATGGGACTGTATGCAAGTATATTAGGATGTTTCATGAGGAGTAAGTTCAGGAGTAATTGAGGAGATCTTCAGTAATCTGTCAGGGTGAAAAGTCAGTTGTAGTTTTTACTGGGCAGGAGCAACAAAGAGTTTGCAAGGGCTCTTTGACATCAGATTGCAGGAACTGTGTGAAAGGTAGGCATGTTCACTGTGTCATTCCAAAATGTAGCTTGGCTTCTGTTTCACCATGTTCAAGTTCCCTTCAGTGGTTTTTTGTATTAGACTTTGAGAGAAAACAGGGTACCATGAGGCAGAAATACTCTCAGCCAGATCACTTATTAAGTAAGTGCAGTGCAGGAAGCTAGTGCAGCTTTGTTCTGCTCCAGTTCCTAACTTTGCAGTGTGTAGAAACTGAATATTAGTTGTTAGTGATAAGAGACTCCCTGCACAATGGGTTGGAAGAGAAAACAACCTTGCTTCAGGCCCTGAAATAGAAATTCATTAAGATGAAAGTCAAGGAAAGGAAAATACATGTAAAGCAGAGCTGTTACAAGAGGGCTTTCATTCCTTTGCTTTTCTGCTTTTCTTCCTCTTTCCCCAGCTCTCTCTTTTCTCCTTTTGCAGACGTTCTGCAACAGATGGAAGACATGAAAAAAGGGATGTGGAAAAAACTGCGAGAAAAGTTTTATGCCAAGAAACCTGAGGAGGACTCCAAGTGATAGGCCAGCTCCAATTCTCCACTGTATATATTCCTGAACACTGTACGTTGCCATGATGAATAAAACCATTTATTCCTCTTAGCAACAGCATTTTTGTTCAGC